TGATGGGAAACCGGAGCTGCAGCTCCCGGGAGTGCTGGGCCGTTCTCCAGGCGCCCACCTGCCCTCACCCTGGCTCGGCCCCGAGAACAAGGTGGCTCTCGGGCCGGGCGTGTGTTCTTGCTCAAAGGGTGACTTGGTCGTTGAATTGATAACAGTCAAACCATAGTAAAAAAGGAAAAAAAGAAAAAAGGAAAGAAAAAGAAATGCACCTAAGTTTTCCAATTCGAATTAGGAGGGACAAAAACACCCTGATTTGGATAAAGTCAGTCGCGGGGCTCCCCGGCCCCGACTCGGGGTCTCTGTCCGCAAGCCCCCGCGGCACACCGGGGTGGCTGACGCCCCACGGGCCCACGCCCGGCGGACGCAAAGGGCGTTTAAAGCCAAGTTTTGTTTCTGTACTCTGCAGAGGCCAGGAGGGTGAGCCCATCTGATGGGGGGACTCTGGGTGGGAAGGAGGAGGCGGGGGAGGGGGCGGGGGGCTGAGGCTGCCGAAGTGCTCCCCGCCAGCAAAAGCACGCAAGCGCTCTCCACTCACACACTCTCTCGCCGGCCGGGCACAGGGACACCCGCTGTCACGCAGCTTCTCTCCCACTACCAGTGTCCACGACAGGACACTTGCCAGGGGTCCCAGGGGCCAGCTTGAGCCAGTGAGTCCTGGCCGCCGGGGCCCACACGCCGCCCACGGGGCGGGAGGGGTCTAAGAGTGACGGGACGCAGGGCTTCTCCCTGTCCAGCTCGGCCACTGCCCCGTGGGCTCTCAGGCGTGGCCCCGTTGACCACGGTCCTTCCGTGCTCCGCCCCCCGGGTAACGCACGGGGCCGCCCCGCCCCCTTCTGGACGCCGCGCAGGGGTGTCCGCCTCTGCACAGCGTCCCTGCGGGGAGGGCAGCACGTTGGCCTTCTTCCTCTCCACTTAGCAGACGGGAAACCAAGGCACAGAGGTGAAGGGGCAGTCGGTGACCACAGAGGGGACGCCGAGCCAGCCGCAGCGTCCCGCCTCGCCAGGCCTGCGCAAGAGCTGCTCAGAGCGCACGGCAAGCCCCCCCACCCCCACTCTTCGCCCAGAGCCAGGGGGGCCAGGGCGCGGACCGCCAGTCCACCCGCCCAAACCGACGGCCCGTCGGAGCACTGAGGTACCAAGCGGCGACGCCCAAGAGGGAACTGCCACGCCGCCTCGGAGCGGGGCCGGGGTGTGGGCCCGGCCAGCGGCCGACCTGACCGGCCTGGGCGCGGGTCGGTGCCTGCGCTGGGGACTCGGCAGGGCGGTGGGCCAGGGGGACGCCACACCGTCTCGTGCGAGGCGGCGCCATGCGGGGTCCACTCACGTCCTGTCTGGTCTAACCCCGGCCCGCGCCGGTGCTCGCCGCCGCGGGCCCCTGCAGCTGTCCCTCTGCTGCCCTCGGGGCTGCCGTTCGTGGACTCGCAGCTGCGGCTCCGGACCACTCCAGCCACGTCCCGCCGGCCACTGCCGGGGGAGGGGCGGGCGCGAGGAAGCACCGAGCCTTCCCAGGAGGCGCAGGACGGAGCCCGCGAGCGTGCAGGAGGCGGGCGGCGGGGGGCGGAGGCCACCGCTGCGGCCCCGGCCAGCACGGCCTCCCGCGTCCGGCCGACAGCACAAGACGCGGCATGAGCAGGACACTTCGGCTAGCCGAAGACGGCCGCGGACACCACGCCGTGGCGGCTCTGTCCAGCGTCGCCTTTCCCACTGGGGGGCCCACGGGGGCCACGGGACTCGGGTGCTCTGGGGCTCGGCAAGCTGGCAGGCCGGCAGCTGGGGCGCGTGGGGGGTGACCTACAGCAAGAATGGGTGCTGCTGATGCGGCCGAGGCCGCCGTGGGAGGGAAACGCTAACCTTGAGGGGTCGCCCTGTGTCCCCCGCACCCTTGCACCCCAGTAAGCACAGCTCCCCGTGCACCATGCGTGTGCAGAGGTGTGTGAGGGAGAGAGAGAGTGACCCCGCCCCTGCTGTCCTGCAGAAACGATGACTCAGAGCAGCTGCAGCAGTTCTGACACAGAAAGCTTCCATGGGTGCGGGGGGCATGTTTTGGGGGTGCGCTAAGGACAGAAAGGAGGAGCTTCCTGTTCAGGCTCCGGCTCCGGACAGAGTGCGTATTCCTCGCAGACAGCAGCCCTGGGGGCTGGCTATCTCGGCAGGTGTCCCTGCCCAGACTGCAGCACAAACACAGCGTAAGCATTTCCCAGGGGTGCAGCTGGGGCGGGCGGGCGGGGCCCTCAAGTCACCCTGAAGGGGGTGGTCGGGGTCCAGGCAAGGGGCAGACTTGGAAGGAGACTCCCACGCAGGCCACGCTGTTCACGAGAGCAGATTTCCGGGGCCAACATGGGCCCCAGGGAGCAGATCTCACGGTGTGGACCCCACGCTGAGGCCCAGGGTTAGCTGGCCAGGGAAGGACACTGGGGGCCAGGCCGCCGGGGAGGCAGTGGCTGGGCTGGGGGCAGAGGCTGCCCAGAGGTGGACACGCTGACCACACAGATGACTCCCTGCCGTGTGCGGCCCCTCGCCCGCCCCATCTCTTTCCTAATGCCCCCTGCACATCTGCCTCCCTGCAGCGAGCCCCGCGACTGCGCAGAGCCCCCCTTTCGCCCGCAGGAGAGCACGGCCGGCACACACGCGCACACACGCACACACGCCCTAAGGGCGGGGAGCACAGGGGGCGAGTGACCAGCGAGGTCGGTGTCCAGCAAGAATGAGAAAGGAAGCAGAGGCAGGAGGCGGCGGGAGCCTGGTGGCGGGGCGCACGGCGGGATGGGGGAGGGGGCTGCGGGGTGCTGGTGGTCTCGGGCGTCGCTGGGCCCCACCAGCCCCAGGAGCCGGCGGCGGGGCTCTCAGATGGCCTCACGGCCCGGCCTCGGCAGAGTACACGGAGCTGCCCTCGGCGGGGAAGCAGGACCGATGGAGAAGCACCTGTCCGTCGGCGGGCTCGACCGGCTGGCGCGGCCGGAGGGCCTGTCCGGGCCGGGCCCGCGCGCTGCGGCCACGCTCCCTTGGCGTGGGCGCGGCCAGGGCTCTGTCCCCTGCCGCCCTCCTTCCCACCTGCGAGGGCAGCAACGTCCAGCAGGAATGAAGGAGGCGGAGGGGCCGGGCAGAGAGGGGCGGCCGGTTCACAGCCGAGGTGCAAATGACGCCCTTTCCTTTTTGTTTCTGACGGGTCGGCCGGACGGCGGGGCTGGGACGGAGAAGCCTCTTGGAATAACACTGAATTTGTTTAAAAAAACAGCCCCCACACATAAATAATAATCCTCAGTCTTTGAACTTAAGAACAGTTCAGTGTGAGGTTTTGCACCCTAAATAGTTATATCTGGAGTTTAAAAAAGAAGACCCGCAGCTACACAGAGCAGACGATGGTACTGAATTAAAAATATCGTGTGTGTATATATATGCATGTTTACATAGAGCTCTCTTTTGTGGAGGCTTTTTCTTTTTGTGTTTTTTTTTTTTTTTTCTTTTTTTTTTTTTTTTTTCCCCAATGCTCAGGTAGAGCTGTGGGGGATGGAAACACCCCCCAAACAGAAGTGCTCCCTCCTGGGGCGACACTCGGAAAAACAACATCGAAGAAATGACTGAACAGAGCTGGAACACCTCCAGACAGCCGGCTGGGTACAGTGAGAAAGTAAATGTCCCGGATGACACGCTCGAGGGCCCAGGGCTGCTGGTGAGTCTGGCCGCCCGTCCCGGCGGACAGGGCTGCAGGTGAAGCGCCACCCCTCCCTCCCGGCCCCACCCGTCACGCTCCCCCTCAGCCAGACCGGGGCGGGTCCGGCGGCGGCCGCGGCTTCCCCGCCTGGCCCGCCCTGGCCGCAGACACAGCCACGCCCGCCCTCTCCGCCCGGGGAGCTGAGCCACTTCCCCGCAACCACAAAGGTGAGAGACAGAAGCACCAAAGGGGTCCGTTATCACAATCTGACTGTGTGAGAGACACACACTCTCCCTCTCTGATCTTCCCCTGTGTTAATATTGTTAAAAAGCACAAATGAAAAATGAAGAATTCTTTCCCGGTCAGTTTAAGGCTTCCCACCAAGTGGCAACAGAGCCAGCCTGACCCGCCACCGCACGTGGCCGAGATCTGTTTCGCGGCCTTAGATGAAGGGACGGACTCCTTCCGCCGTCACTGCCTGCGCACCTGCCTGCGGGCTGACTCGCGTGCTTTCTGCTACTCTGCTGAGTTTTATTATTACCGATTCTCTTGGATGGCACCTATGCGATTCTGAGATTTGCTTTGGAATCTCCGGTTCTTAGCGGATTGGTGGGGTGGCTTTTAGTTTTGCTTCTGCCGAGAAGTAAGTGTGACGCTCACTAAGAACAATGGCACATGGTCAGCCTTCAGACAGCTCGCCAGCCCTCGCGGGCCAAAGCACTGCTGGGCTCCGGGAAGGCTGGCGAGTGGGGGCCGGGCGGGGGCGGGAGAGGAGACTGGCGTTGCTTTTGGTGAATTTGTTTCCTTCCCTAGAATGTCAGATAGCAGGAACAAGGGCTTTGTTTGCGCTTTTTCGCAGGTGGTTTGTTTTGCGTCTAGATTTTTCGGGGCTGCACTGTCCCTCGGGGAGCAGACAGCGTAACAAACCCAGCACCTGAGGGCGTAAGGCAGTTGGAGGTTTGTTTGTTTGTTTGTTTAGACTTGTTCTTTCCATCAGCACCAATCCCATGGATGATCTACACTTGGTGTTAAGGTACAATTTGTTTGTTTGTTTAGATTTGTTCTTTCCATCAGCACCAATCCCATGGATGATCTACACTTGGTGTTAAGGTACAATTTGTTTGTTTGTTTAGATTTGTTCTTTCCATCAGCACCAATCCCATGGATGATCTACACTTGGTGTGAAGGTCTAAGACTTTTTTGTCTGAGTGGAGACAGCCCCCCCTCCACCCTGGTGTGGGATTTTTCCATACTGTGTGTGTGTAGAAAACAAAAGCAAGGTTTTCTTTGTGTCGTTACTTACAAAACATAGAGAATATCTTTGTATACATACAGCGCTGGAAAGAAAGCTTATCTGAAGGGCTGAGACCCGGCACCCTTCTGTGGTGGCATTGATGGTGGTGGTGGAGGTGGAGGTGGTGTTTCTGTGTACGGGGCAGGGCGGGGCGGATCTCTCGCACGCGGTGTTGACCGCCACCGGCTGAGGTCCCCTCTCCACCTGGGCCCGGGGGCTCAGAGTGAAGACTCATACTGCAGCAATTCGTAAAGCAGCGGTCCGTCCCGGTACCGAATGCCTACCGCGGTGGGGGTCACGTACTGCAGGATGTTAATGGTCCTCCTCAGCCTCCTGTCTACGAAATGGGCATCCCAGGCTGGGTATCTCTTTCTTGGCATGTCAATCTTAATGAGGGGCCCTTCTGGGTGGGAAGGACGCCCCGACGGGGTAGAAGGCTCCACGGGTCTCACTTGGAAAACGGGCAGGCAAGTGTCGGCCGTGACATCCTCCTGTTGTTCCGTGACGGCTCTGGTGGGCGTGACCTGGGTCCCCCGGTACCCAGGGGTCTGAGGCGCCATGGGCTCAACATCGGGGGGCAGAGGGATGCCCCAGAGCAGCTCGGCACAACAGGAGCTCGCAAAGATCTTAGCTCGCGGCCCCATGGGATGCAGCACCCCGTAATACAAGAGCATGAGCGAGATCCCGGCCAGAAAGCTAACAAAGACACAACACAGTGCTGGCAGCGCGTACGCGTTGGTGGTCTCCGGGTTTCTGTAAAAATACCAAAGGAACGTCAGGGCGGCGTTCTCGGTCAAGACTATCGTATAATACGCAAACATTCGGTATCGAGTCCGCCCTTCCTTGACGTTAAACCAGCAGAAAATGTACACGATCCCTACCACCATGTTGAAGAGGATCTCCTCCCATTTGGACATGCAGAAGTCCGTGCCGCCGTGGATGATCCAGAAGGCCATGGCGCACCAGTGCACCACCACGAAGATGCCAAAGTAGAGCTGGAAGATGGAAGCAAAGAGGGCGAAAGAGAGGACTCTGGAGGAGATGGTGAAGAGGCGCCAGAGGAGGTGCAGCAGGGCCCCTCGGTAGCTCATGCTCTTTTTGTCGTCCCTGGAGTCCCGCAGCAGCTTGTGATATGAGGCTAGCACCCAAGCCAGGGACATCAGGGAGGTCACAGAGGAGAC